AAATCACCCCAAAAATGGACACCAAAAACCCATAAACATGATAGAATCAACATGATTCAGTAGCATGACTCAGTACATTCGGCAAATATATCATTATATGAAAATATTTGCAGAGGTGTAAAAACATTAGTTCACAATTTATGTTGCAACATGATTACTTGACATTCGTTATATTTATTGCCCAGGACGATAGATGCAAATATATGCTTTGATATGATATGTTTTGAACATGATATGCTATGAATATATGTTCCTACATATTCAACCAAAATAGTGCTGAAATGTTTCACTTTTTCTTAAGAAAGGCCTAAGAGACCCGCTAATTTAGAGTAATAACAGCGATGGCGCTACGTAAGAAAATCATATGATGTGGACAGCATTGACAGCTGCAACAGGGTGAACTTAGCCAGGATCCCTTATGCGGAGTGCTCTTGTATACTTGCATATTTTTGCACAAATATTTTGGTACAGACGGATTGAGAGAGGGTTTTCGATGAATATTCTCCTGTGTAGTAAAATTATTTTATGAATTATACAAAATATAGGAGTTTTATGACGGCCCCAGGCCCATGCATTCACGGCATCGCTCCCCCACTCCAGCAGGCCTGTGGGAGTACGGACGTCCAGTACGCGGAACTGCTCTTAAGCGGGGCCGTGGCCACCCCGGGCCCCCACCCCCGCAACCCCCGCCACGTCGTGTACGCCACGCTGGACGCCAAGAGCCAGCACGCCCACTTCCCTCCCCAGCACAGCCAGCCAGCCTACCCGCGCCCAGTCTCAGCCACCAACACGCCCACCCACGTGCTCCACCACCAACACCCGCCCAACACGCACACTCTGTGCCAGCCCTTAGTGGGCGGCGGGGAGGGCCACCACCACCCCCAGCAGCACCATCCGGTCCCTGCGGTTCACCCACAGGGGAGCCACTGTCCCTGGACGACGGCCACGGCGACGCTGCCCCGACGGCACTCCCTCAGGAGAGACCCGACCCCCCGCGACGCCGAGGACAGCGTTCCGCTCATGACCTCGCAGAAGGAGAGCTCGGTGTGAGGCAGGCAGGGGATGGGCGGCGCCCTTGCATGCTGAGCGCCGGGCGTGCATTCATAGGTCATATTTACCATCGTACTTCCATATTCATATCTGAATGTTGCTTTCAGATTCTGAAGTCAGATTCAGTGACTTTCTTGAAAAAAAATAAGGAAAAAGGAAAGAGTTAAACATACGCACACGCACACAGACACACACACAAACATACATGTTTATCTATCAGTCTATCTATCCTTATGAATGTATGCACGTACATATCTACCTATCTATCTCTGTTTCTGTTTCTCACTTTCTCACTCTCTCTTCCCCCACCCCCTGTCTCTCTCTCTTTCTCTCTCTCTCCTTTCACTTGCTCTCTCTCTCTCTCACACACACACACACACACACACACACACACACACACACACACACACACACACACACACACACACACACACACACACACACACACACACACACACACACACACACACACACACACACAGAGTAAAGTGATGAATATGGACACAAATCACCGGAGAACATCAGCAGTGCTTCCTAACCAAAGACGACCCGCGCTGGAGTGCTGGCAGAAATTCCGTTTCAGAAGACACGGATGCCAGGAAGTCAAAGACCAGAAAATAAATAGAAAATAAAATAAAATAAAAAGCTCACTAGATTGTCCTTACACAGGAACTTCAGGACCTTCATAACAAGGTGTGTACGTCAAGGAATACTCATGAGTTTGTGGGTAATATGCGATTTGGTGTCTCATGTGTAGTGTGGGTAAGTACCGAATGCATTTATTATGTGGTACCTGGTTGTGGTTGATCAGTGTACTATTTGGGGGAAACTATTTGTTTATAAGATAGTGGTTGGACGTTTACAAAGAACTATTTATGATTGTTGGTATTGCTTTCACTATAATTATGATCATCATTTTTAGTTTTATTAATTTCTTTATTGTTATTGGTAAAAACATTATGATTTCAATTATTATCGTTATTATTAGTATTATCATTATTATTATTATTGTTTTCTTATCATTATTATTATCATTATTATTGTATTTGTTATCATCATTATTAGTATTATTACTATTATCATTATTTTTATCATCATTATTATTACTATCATCATCATTATTATTATTATCAGCATCATCATTATTATTACTATTATTATTTTCATTTTCATTAAAATTATTATTATCTTTATAATCTATATTATTATTATCTTTATAATCTATATTATTACCTCTATTATCATTATCATCATAATTACTATTATTAGTATCATTAATATTATTACTACTATTACTGTTTGCATTACTATTATCACCATTATCATTATCATCATTATCATCATCAATGTGATTATTATCATCATCATCATCATCATTATCATTATCATTATCATTATCATTATCATTACCATTATTATTATTATTATTATTATTATTATTATTATTATTATCATCCTCATTATCATTATTATCATTATTATTACCATCATTATTTTTTACATGACTGTTATCATTTTTATTACTATTATTATTATTATCATTATCATTGTTATCATTATTAGCATTGTTAATATTACTATTGTTAGTAGTAGTAGTGGTATCGTTACCATTATCATTGTTACTAAAATTGTTATTATTTTCATTATTATTATCATTTACATTATTATCATTATTTTTATCTTTGTTATTGTTATCAATATTATTATTAGCGTTTTATTATTATTATTATTATTATTATTATTATTATTATTATCATTATTATCATTATCATCATTATTGTTATTATGATTATTATTATAATTAGTGTTGTTGTTATCATTATTATTATTATAATTATCATATAATTATTATAATTATAATTTTCATTATTATTAATGTCATTTTTATTATTATTACGATCATTATCACATATTATTATCAAGTATTAGTTTAACTATATTTTATTGTTGATAATAGTAATAACAATAATAATAACGATAATACTATATTACTATTATTTTATTTGTCATCATCATCATCATTATCATTATCATTATCATTATCATTATCATTATCATTATCATTATCATTATCATCATCATCATCATCATCATCATCATCATCTTAGTTTTAATCCTCATCATTATTACTACTATTATTACTGTTCTCATTTTTATCATCATTATCATTGTTATCAATATCAGTGGTCAGTTTCATCATATCATTACTATAATATTTTATAATATTGCCTATACCTCATTAAGTTACTTACTTGCCATACCATTCATCATGATTATCATAATCATTGATCAGGTTTCATCATAATCATTATCTATAACATAATTTATAATTATTGCTATAGGCCTCATAAAAAAATTACAGTTACTGCCAATACCAATATCATCGTGATTATAATTGTAGCATTGTAATCTTCATAATTACTGTCGTTATTAACTTGATTATCTTTTTCCAATATTTATCATTCTTATATCATTTTATAATATCATTTACTTATCATCACATTTACTTATCGATATGAACATCATTTTTTAGCTATCATCATAATTATCATTATATTTATTAACTATTTACTTCTCCCTCTATGTCAAAGCTCTTGATGATCATCAGTTAGAGAGGAATATGTTGGGGATAATTATCGATTTAAGTGATTATGTAATATGCTTATCAGAGGAAATAAAGATATATAAGAATTGTGACTAATAAAACTTACCCACAGTCTTAAGAGAATAAATATTAAAATTTCAGAATGATTATGATGGCAAGAATAACACTGAACATTACTCACCTGCTCCATAAATAAATAAAAATGAATAAATAAAAAAAAAAAAGATATTACAAAAACAAAAAAAAAAGGAAAAAAAAGAGATTGATAATATAACTGCTGATATTGATATACAGTAAACTACATTTAATAGACAAATAGAAGTTATTATGGAAGTGAGTGAGTGAAAATTAATTTGCTAAATACGATTCTGAAATGAGGAATACTGAATGAGAGTACCCATAAAAGTGAGTGCTGTAAACGAGCCAGAACCAATAGAACTGGTCTTATATATTTTTTTTCTTTCTTTTTCGGGGCCAATAGTCACAGAATCAAATCGAATAGCGATATATACAAAAAAAAAAGAAGAGAAAAAAAGGAAAGATGGATCAATCGCTAATGTATTCAGTAATATCAAATCCGCTTCTTAGTTATATCATATCGTAGTTCGAAAGACAGAATCCACTCAAAATTCACCAACAAACAAGTTCCGTAGCATCAACGATAAGAGACAACTTCCGGTGAAAGACACTCTGATTATCTTTTGAACTCAAGCCTGTTTAATGGAATTCACCAACAATCATACTGTCCGACAAAAAAAATATATATATACTATATATAATTATAAATATAAAATATAATTTATCTAATATAATTCATAATATATATTTAATTTATTAACTTACCCATAATATATATAGACAATATTCTTATTATAGATAGTATAATATGTATATATATTATACATTATATAATATATAATATTATATATAATTAAAGATATATTAATATATATATTATTAATATATATATATACTATGTATGTATGTTATTATGTATGTATATATGTATGTATGTATTAAGAGTACAAATCAACAGAGACTTCTTACCTACCATATTTGCATGAAAAATGTATAGTGTGTTTTATATAACATTTTCCGAATGATCACAGTTTATTCATATTTTTCTGCAGATGTGTTTTAAAGGTTTATATAAATATATATGCTGCAGACTGCCCGGTCTCGGTGAGAAGAGTATGGAGAGGTTTCCTACAACAGAAACTCGTAAAAGTTGTTCAATGTTATTGGTTCTTGAAACCACCATGGAAGGGGAATAATAAAAAAAGCATGTGTGATATGTATGCGCAAGAAATTCCATAACAACACACTCATTGCTAAAGGGAATATG